TCATTGTTCTTCTGTAATTCCTATTTTAATTTTTATTCAATTTCTACTTAACAAATACAACTTTTTTTTAATTTCAAATTAACTACACATATTTTTTTCATAAATTCTAAGTCAATGACAGGATTCGATCCAAAGATCCCCAAAGTCGTGTGAATCGAACACGCTACCAAGTGAGCTATGCTCGTCACAAGAAGTTCTTCTAGGTTAAAAATACTTGTTCCGAGTTGTTCAAATCAGTAGCACGTGTTTTGCAAGTTTTGGCAACAGATTGAGAAGACAATTGCAGATGCTATTGATTTCTCAACTGAAAAAACTTTGTTAAATCTAACGCGTGGTAAAAAATATCATTTAAGTTGAGGTAACTGAAGACATTCTTCTAGTTCTTCAATATTGGTTCCAAATTGTTTAAATCAGTAATACGTATTTTGCAATATTTAGCAATAGATCTCGGAGACAATTGCATCACAACCGCATATTTCTGCGCCGTACTGACGGTAATTTCGTAATAAACAGCCGACTGAGTATCTCAAGACAAAAATGTGAATATCATGTGAAAGTATATTGTAAACATCAATTAGCACATGCTACAACTATTCCACCTTCTCTGGGGACATTCAACTGTAGTATATATTTCAACCTTGTCTTATTTTCTCAGGATACTCACGTTTGTAATGTTTTATGTGATTTTTTTTATTATAATTCCCCTTGCAAACAGCGGTCATTGCCTTACCGTTATTTGTTGTTTATGAATAATGCACGTTTATATTTGTGTGTTGGTCTTATACTTATATATCACTACTTTCATAAAAGATAGTTTTCTTTATATATTTTGTTTGATGCAAGTATTATTTTTAGGATTTATGCTCCAAAAAAATTTATAAGTATTAAAATCTGCAGTAACAGGAATGTTCCAGTAAAATACAGGTCTGATATGAGGTGAAAATAGGCTTTGGGGTATTTGACACAGCATGTATCTCAGTATTAGATCAAATATTTAATGAAAATCTCATCAAATCGAAAATTGTCAACCAGTGGGTGCCTTCTAATAAACCAGGTTGAGGAATCACATCAAAACAGCTCATAGAAAATATATAGGCCTGATTGCTAATTAAACAAAATACAATAAATTATACTAATTACTAAAATAGTACAAGTACAAGTACTAAGATAATACAAATTAGTATTAAATAGCTATTCTAATATACAATGAAGATAGTTGACATTCTTTTATTCATATTAGTAGTAAACAAAATAAATCTAATATTCAGTTAAAACTACAAGTTAGTTAAAATAGGATTCTTGTAATTAAGATAAACAAAAAGTTCTCATCATTCTTGCAATTAGAGACTTTGCTAAATATCATAGAATAGAACACATTCAAGCAATCGTAGATCTCAAATTTATTCATTTGTAAGAAAAAATGGTTCTTAAAGTTTACACCTAATTATGTGATCAATAAATAAATTTGAGATTCAAGATAGCTTGAATGTGTTCTAACCTATGATAGCAAAATATCTTATCCTAAGAACGATGAGAACTTTTTATTTATCTAAATTACAATTATCCTATATCAACTTCTAGTATTAACTGAATATTAGATTCTCGTCGTTTTCTTCTAATGCAATGAATAAAACTGAGTTTTATATAAATGTAAATAAGCAATTAATATACATTTATGCATCATATAAAATACAACTCTGTGTATTGTTCGATTCACCTTCGACTCTATAAAAAAACTTGCAGTTTCAGTGTTTATTTTTAAATTCTATAATTAATGCTCTGTTTT